TTGCCTGTGTTCCTGAGAAGCATCTACGGTACCAGTCTATAGAGTGTGTTTTCTTTAGTGAATTACCGGTATGTTTACCGGTAATAAACTTGCACTGTTTTATGTATATGTTTGATTACATACAGCCTTGTGACAGTTTTCCTGCATGTCATAAGCATTTGAATATAAATTAAAATGTTAAAAATCAAATCTGATATTGTTTTACCTTTTATTTGGTGTGTGGAAGGTGTGCGGAAGAGGGGGTAGTCTTATACGGCGAGTATATATCAAACTCTGTATTTTGAGTGGAAATGTTAGGGGGTCGTCTTATACGCCCAGTCGTCTTATACGCCGGCAAATACGGTATGTTGTTGTATGTATCAACAGTTCATTTCTTTTCATTGTATAATTATTGTAGAATAGTATTCCCTAGTATAAATATACTACAATTTGTTTATCCATTTGCTTGTTGATAGCACTTGGTGAATTCTAGTTTTGGGTTATTACAAATACAGTCATACTTCACGTACAAAGGTTTATGTGGACACATTTATTTTCTTTTAAATGAAAACTGCTGGAACTAGCTAGTGTGCTTTACTTTCTAAGAAACTGCGAAAATGTTTTCCAAAGTGGCTGCACCCTTCTACTAGTAGTGGAAGAGGGTTCTGGTTCCTGCACATTCTTGTCAACACTTGCTTATTTTAGCCATTCTAGTGAGTATACAGTAATATTTTCAGTTTTAATTTTCTTTTCCTAATCACCAAAACCATCTATTTTAAAACCCAATCTAGAATTATGCTAAAAGTTGACATCAACTTTACTGGGCTGTATAGTTTTTAGAATTTATTTTTCCTGCTCTTTGCAAAAGGAAATATTTGCCCACTATGAGTCTTTCAGTCCTTGAGAATATAATTTGTTTATGCCTGAAAACTAGGGCTCATTTAAAATAAATAAATTATCCCTTTTGACACTATGTGATTTTACTCAATCTTTAATTTTCCCTTTCAAGGTGAAATCTTTCTTCTTGATAAAAAGGAAAGTTAATGGTGTTTTTCCCACACCCTCTCGACAAGCAGTGGGATTTACCCTTACTTGTCCCCATGACCTTGGACACAGCTTTTTAAGAAAACAACTCATTTTATGGAATCATATCTCCTTTAAAAATTGCTGGTTATAGGCTGCTTATTTCCCAATTCTAGTGTATATGGGTCTGATGATGGTCAATTTTTCCTGCTTTCACAATTATGAATTCTATACTATCTTTTTTTCTGCCCCTTCTCCAAGTTTCCTTTCATTTCTACATTACAATCAATTATTTCATGAAATACATACTTGCCAGGCAGTGCTGAATTTTTGTAGTCAGACTGGATTCATACCTCTGCCCTATCACTTATTAATGTGACCTAGCTAATCAGTTAAGAATGTTCTTTCTCTCATAGGTAAAATGAGGAGATCAATACTACCTTTTAGGGTTGCTGTGAGCATTAAATGAGTATGTAAAAAATATGTAAGGTGCACAAGATAGTGCCTAGCACATAATGGGTACTCCATAAATATTACCTATTAGTAATGCATTTAAATGTATTAAAGTTCAGTCTCCCTCACTATTTCCTATACATTCTGAAAATGAAACTACTAGCAAAATAAACTCACAAGTCACTTTTAAAATAAATCACCTGCTTAGCAAAATGAGATTGACAACCAACAAGCAGAAACTGAAATCCTTAACTACATCCATACACCTGTCCTTAGGCCTGTGTAGTGATCTATAGCAGAATGCACTGTATCTGCCAGGACTTGCCCAAGTTAATGAAAAAGTTCAGCTCAGAATGAGTTTATATGCATCCAATATGTGAAACAAAACATAATAAATTTACTCTTGTTAAGCAGTAGTTATCTTAATGTCATAATAATTCATAGTGAAATTCTTTTTTTTCAGCACTGTTCGTGTGGAAAGCATTCTGTTGCACCTGTATTTCAAATTCAGGTCCTATAAACTATTGGTAGAAAAAAAGCCTCATTAAAGTAGACATTGTAAAGAGAGCTGGGCCAAATTAGTATAATACAAGAGGGAATAATGTCAAATTCTAGAGAGAAAGACTATAACTAGGAGAATAATTTCCAGAATGTGGATTTGAAGTAATTTCTTAATAGAACCATTGAGAAATCTGGTTAGCAGATATATCCGAAGTAAAGGTAAGTAAAACGTACCTTTTTAGTATAAATCAACAGAGATACATAAATTAATATATTCATTTTAAAGATATAATTGCATATAAAAGAACATCTAAAGTATAGTATGAAATCAATAGATTTTAACTTATTGTTCTTATCACAATTACTTTATTATTTTTATTATGGTAGAAATTCTAGGCAATGTTGAGTATTGACTCAGTAAAATACAAAATATCTATTAGCTTTTAAGACATTGTCTGTTCCTAGTATCAAATAAGATGACTTATTTGA